AATAGGATATTAGTAAAGATTTATACTACTTACTAAAAAAACCTACTAATTTCGTAAGAATTTAGTAAGAATAAATCGCACTAAAACAATACACGTAGCTAGCGGGAAAGACGCTCCCCCTTATAAACAAACTGCCTCTCATAACGGCCCACTTATGTAGCAGCTAAATGCCCATTTGATTGTGTAACGAATTCCACGCGATCCGCTTATTAGCTGCATATTAATATGAATTAAACTTTACCAAGTATAAGGTGAAATGCTTGTGTGAATTGTTACGTTCCTACTAACTAGTGTAAGCACGTGTTCATTTACACTCGCTAATGGACGAGTTATTATTATAAAATATACATTCTTTCTATTGTTTAGTGTAATGTTTATTTTGTTAGCGTAATGTGTCGTAATGATATTTTCTCTATGATAGCAAAATATATATTTTTTTTTTACATTATTACGTCACGAATTATAGTTAAGTATTAGGTGAAATGCTTGTATGAATTGTTACGTTCCTACTAATTAGTGTAAGCACGTGTTCATTTACACTCGCTAATGGACGAGTTATTGTTATAAAATATACATTCTTTCTATTGTTTACTATTACGTTTATTTTATAAGCGTAATGTGTCGTAAATAAACATTTTCTTTGAGAAGAGACCAAAATGTATTTTTTTATATTATTTCTGTCACGAATTATTTATTACTCTTTATTGCACCACTTGATAATACAAATTATATAATTATTATACACTTATGAAGTACAAAAGGTGGTCTTATCGCTAAAGCCATCGAAATTTATCAAAAATTGATTGATTAATATTTATAATCGATTAATTTATTTTTATTTATAATTATTTATATTAATATTTATATTATGTTATATAGGTAAATATAAATTCAAATAAATCTTACTAATATTATAAATGACAAAGTGACTTTATTTGTTACATCATAGTGCCTTCACGGCTTAACCAGTAACTATGAAATTTAATAAGCACATATTATAGTGGTATAGGATGAAGGATATAGAATATATGCTACTTTTTATCCCGTTCGCAGATAAAATCTAGTGCATATATAATTTTAAAAACATCTTAGATATATAGATTGACGTTTATTATTTTAACACACCATATATGGATGACAAACACAGCACAGATAACAAGACTATATATGTAGTACATATATGTATTACTAACTATATATATGTATTAATAACTAATGTTGTAATTTTTTTCACCGCATAATAAAATTTCTGTTTTACCAAAGGTTGACTGGGAGAAAATGCTATATAGTATTAAGTCCGCCTTTTGTATCAGAATTTTTTTTGTAATGTGGTCAATAAAGAATAAATAAATGAATAAATAGTAATACATATATGTACATACACATACATACACATGTGTATATATGTATATACAAAAAAAGAAAAGAGAAACAGAGCAAAAGTAACTAGGAGTGATTCTGCCTGTGCAGTATTCACTTATTCTCTTTATTTTAGAATGGTGGTCAACGTATAGGACCTGCATAGTAAAGCCGCGACGCTGGTTTTCAGTGGGCCCCAGGTATAAAAGATGTGAGTCACTGTCTAATGCGTATGTTTCGTTTTATATGTGTGTACAAATTGTAAATCATGTAAACGAAACGTAATAAAATGTATTTATATGCATATTTATTTATTTATTTTTAAAAGGTACATCAACAATGTAAATACAGACATTGATTTTAATTCATATACAGGGCTTGTACATTACAAAACATACATTTACAACGTACATTTTACATTTACACCAATTATAGATGTACACAACATTTTCTTAAGTCATCGATTACATATTAACAAAACTGACACCAACAAAACAATTAAAAAAACATACAAGTAACAAACATAAGAATACTTAAAATATATAATTATTAAAATTATTAGAACAGTGCACATAGAAATATATTTATAGTATCTATACATCCGTGTGGTTTTAGCATAGAACAGGTCTTTACCGTGGATTTCGTAAGATCCGACCAAGAGAGGGCGAGGGATAACAGCAGCGTCCCTCTTAAAATATCTCCAAAACCTAACTGCGGGGGAAAAAGGGATTGTTAGTAATAAGATCTAACAGCCCCATTGCTAGCAATATACCCTATAAGGTCGACCTCCACGCGGTTTCCCCTGGAAACCATCGTGGTAATATTGATGAATTCCTCACGATGGACTAACTGACCTGCTTCATTCTCACCTATCACTGGTGCCCCGCCAGTGTATACCTACCGATAGCGCAGTCGGAGTTACCCTTTTATCTTCATCCATTAAAAAAAACTAACTTTGGTTGACTACTTGCAAAACTCCCGGTATAGGAAAGGCTATTCAGCAGCGGACAGTTAACAACTGGAATGTGTGCAGTGTGTGTGTGAGTAAGAAGTAAAAAGACAAAACAAAAGTATTATGTATTATGTTTCTTAAGAATTATCTCACACACAATCACACATCGCACCCAAACGAGCAGGTACCTAATATTCAGAGGCTGTATTGTACTACGCCGCGACAGTCGATTGTTTCTAGCTCTACCTGTCTTAAGCCGCATTACGCATTGTTAAATATTTTTATTGCTTTAAATTGCACTTGCACACACCTTTCTTTTTTTGTTATGTATTCATTAAAATCTAGATATTTTATGACTTTATTCAGTACAAACTAAAAATGAATGTTTTCTCTTTATGTATATGGATTATGGTTACCAGTAACAATGAGGAATATGCGATATCTGAACGCAGGGATTGTCTCATATTTCCCGTTGTTAACTAGAAGTTATTAAGTTATTTAAAAGGTGAACGTAGGTATACCTTTAAATATTTTTTTATATAACTTAGAATGACAAACAAGCTGACTTCTGCCCACCTGATGGAAAGTGGTAACCGTCGCCTATAGACATGAGCAGTACCATGGACATAACAGAGTATACTGTTTCGCCCATGATACCCCCCATGCGTTGCCATTCCTAAGGACTCGGGTGTTATTCCTCTGTATGCTGTAAATTCACGCCATATCCCACCCTTCAAACCGAAACACAGCCATGCAAACACAACTGCTTCACTGTAGAAACAGAAATGGTACAGAGGTACCCAAGCAATCGACTTTTGTACAAAGTCTCCCTCTGGTAAATGTAGAAGCAGGCGCTTCATCTATATTTTCAACCGACTTAAAAAAAATTCTCAATTCGATTGTACTTTTACTTTGTTTGTTACTACAGAACTCCGTCATTTGTAAACCTATTCGGAAATTTATTTTTAACTGAAAACTTATTATACTTTATTAAATTTATTTATTTATATATTATATAATAATTATATTTTATTAAAATTAGTAGTTTACTTTTAAAATTAAAATAATAGATTTTGCCTATAGATGCCGGTGTTTTTATTTATTTTTTTATTTTTGTGAAATAAAGATTTTTGTTAAGCTTTTACAAGTTCTCTTCGTTACATACATATGGTGATTACGAATCTTTCGTTAACGTTTTCATTAATAAACCAACCATTGAAGTTGAAACTTACTAGTCTCAAAACCTATTACCGCCTTATTCATAAAAACGTCAAACCTCTTATAAACGTATTAGCTATTGAACTCTTTTGTCTCGTTCTTTTACACTAAGTCCCCAATTTGAAAGAAAGTGACAAAACAGTGTAATAGTTAAAGTAAATTTGTAGAATGTTTTGTTTTTTTATGTATAAGGAGATCAATTTGCGTCGCAAAATTTTAATTAATCATTGAAACTGTTGAAAGGCGCTCATTATCATTTACACCATACTGAACCAGCTGGAGAGACTGTGGGACTCTGTGACGTCATAGTGCCGTTTGTGTGTATAGCGACGGTTACCGCTTCCCACCAGGGGGCCCGTCCGTTTATTGCCATTCTAAGTAGCATTAAAAAAAACACACACACAAAGACATCCGTCTTCTTGGCTGTCGAAGACTTCCACGTTCACCATTTTTCTTAACGCGAATATTGTTAAGACATCCCAATACGTGTCAAAACATTTTATTTTATGTCATTATTTAGGTTTTTTTTTTTTTAACCAAAATACAACTCTTTAAAAAAGAATATTCATAATCGATTTATACTTATTTATTTATAACAAAGTAACGGAATACAAATTAGTACATTCATGAAATAAACGACATCTTTGTACTTCAATAACTACTTTGCATATTTAAATATTAGAAGAATAACGACTATGTATTTAAATTAATAAATTGACAGTTTTAACATTGAAAAGATTGCTTAAAATATAAAAAAGTATAAAAAAAAAATATTAAGGAAACTAGTTTTACTGCTACTACTCGTAATAGTATACTTAGGTAAGTACGTACAATATAAATCTAAAACAATACAAATTTTAGATAGTTATTTTCTACCACTAAAAATAAGGAGTGCTTAGATAGTGAAAATGGTACCAGATATTTAAAGTTAGTTAAGTTTAAAATACCAGTGTAGCTAAGTATTACCTATAGGTTCACAATTACTTACACAAGTTACAACAAGTAGGTATCACTGAGCGCCATTGTCTATTTTGACTCAATAAAATGTAGGACAGAGACTATATCGAATAAGATGGAGTTCAAGTCCTCGCTACCTAGTAATAAGTATATAGCTACCTATAGTAAATTATTGTCAATCTTGATCAGACTGTATACAAACTTGTTGATGGAACTTTTGCCTCTAATTATGGTAACATTGTACTGTATAGATAGATAAAAGAGCAAACTGTAGGTATCCAAAAATTACATACTGCGTAGGAGGCGTCACATATGTAGGTATTTGAGTAATGTGACACATGTGTGGTACGGGTGACGCTGTAGGGGGGGTGCAGGGGGCGGAGGGGCCCAGCGCGGCGCGTGTATGTGTGGCCGGGGCGGGGCCGGGGGCGGGCCCCACACCGGCGCGGGCGGCCACTGCCCGCCGACCGCACGCTGACTGCCGATCCGATATTCGGCATTCGCGCGACACCGCCGACCCGCGCGCCTGTCTCGTCAGTTCATTCCGTGCTCGTGAGCCGCCCGCGATACACGTTCGCGTCGTTCGCGCACCCGTCGCTACCCTCGACGCGGCAACTAAACATAGTGTGCTGTGCAGTGCTTATAAAACTTGTACTCATCTGTGACACTGTGCCTTTGGACACGAATAGACATAGGGAAAAATTTGTGGAGTTGTGCGATACGAAGATTGCGGTCCGGCGGGAAGGCGATTCTTTGAGCGACGAAAGGGTTGGAGTGCGGGGTGCGAAGCGGGCGGAGGGCGGCGCGAGGCCGCGCAAGCGCCCGCCAGTAGGCCGCGCCGCGGCTCCGACACACGCGTTGATACCGGCGCGCGCGATGGACGACAAGCCGACCGCCGTCGGCGGCGAGGAGCACTACAGCCTGCGCTGGAACAACCACCAAGCACATCTGCTACGCTCCTTTGAAGCACTTCTACATGCGGAAACTCTAGTCGATGTCACCCTGGTATGCGCCGAGCGCCGCGTCCGGGCCCACAAAGTGCTTCTTGGCGCGTGCAGCCCTCTATTTCGGCGAATATTCAGCGAGAATCCGTGCAAGCATCCTGTGATCGTGTTAAAAGACTTCCAAGGATGGGAAGTGCAAGCGGTAGTTGACTTTATGTACCGTGGAGAAGTTTCTGTAGCTCAGGAACAGCTGGGAACTGTTATTAAAGCAGGAGAATCACTACAGGTGCGAGGGCTGGCTGATCAGGATCGTGAGGAGCGTTCTCCTCCTCCTACCCCGCTGGCGAGAAGCCCAGTCCAGACGACACCACCAGCGCCGTCCCCGCCAGTGAGCCCAGCGAGCCCACAGCCGCGACGCAAGCAGGCTCGTCCACGTCGCCGCTCAGGAGAATCAGATACGCCAGAGAATTTGTCGATGCGCCGATCCCCCAGCGGTGGGCTGAAAGCGGTGCGCTTGGCGAGGCCCAGGTCGCCACCAAAACAAGAACAAAGTGATGAACAAGAGGCGGAAGTACCACCGCCACCGCGAATGTTTCCACCACATCAGGATATGTTCCCACCAGTGCCACCAGCTGCTGTGTCTGCTCTATCTCTGACCCCACCACACAGTAAGTACCTTTATTTATATTTTATCTCAATATTGTAGGTAGGCATCGATGTCAAAAAAAAATTTTATTACCAATGTGAATTGTACGGTTTCCAAAATGCTCACTTATCAGTGGACATTTTAAATTTATTTTCATTGACAACTTAAATATGAGCAAGAAGCAAATATTCCACTAAATTAATTAAATTAATGAGAAGTTAATCAATATATTTAATAAAATAATTACGGGTTACTAATGTGTCATGCTTATGCGTATATATAATGAATAAATAGAAAATATAAGGAAGCAACACGTCGCATGTGTTCTGACATCATAGGAAGCATGACTACTTGACTTGAATTCATTTTATGCAAATAAATACTAATAATATTATTCTAGTAGATACATCATACGTTACGTAGATCTTGCTTTATTGTACGCAAACATAGTACTACACAAGTTTTAACTGAAAAAAACAAAGGTCGATATCAATGTCGTTGTGGATCAATAAATAATTACCAAGTAAACAAATAATTACTACAAAAAATTGGCCTTCATAACTCATTGTCAAATTATAGACACAAATTAATTTTACTCAATTCTAAGATGCGTCTCACAGATTTTAAATCGCAACGTACAACTTCTCGAATTGTGCTACAAGATTTCTTAAACTACCTGATTCATTAATTCGTGTTTAATTTATTCTAATTACATTCGTATGATAATCGTACGTAACATACATCGGTGCCTATTACAAAATTATTGTTGGTTATTACAGTCGAGCTGACTCGCGGCAAGTCATTAAAGGATCCGTTAGATAGTCATCGTTTTAGTCTTATCGATTCCATAAATCGCATGCATGGGATTCGATTAGCGACCGATACGCAATGTTAACCGGAACCTCTCTCGGATAAATTAAGATCACCTATTCATGCGTCGGGTGCATTATCTATTCTATCGCGTGAAAGGTTTTAACTTCGAGTCCATTAACATAGCATGTCGCAAACGTTCCCCGTAAAATATTATTTTATATGGCGGCGGTGGCACCCCGTTTCATCTTACCAGTGTATCGTCTCAATAAACGTGTGTCAGTGTAAATTTTACACCTCAATAATTATTGCTTGCGGATCTCCGCGCATGAAAGAGGAAGCAATTCCAGCAGTCATCTTGTTTTACGAGCCCTTTTCGATTTGTGGACATGTTTATAGAGGAAACGACTGGCCTTCTGATGGACTAATTTAAAGAAACTTAAGATAAAGTTATAATTTAATTCAGAATCGTTTTAAATTACTGAAAAGATTTCAAATAAAATTCTTTGAGAACATAAAATAAACATGTCATATTACATTATCTAACAAAAAATAAAATTGGTCAACAAAATTTCGTAAAAATACAAATAAAAAAATCCAATGAAAATATGTAAAGAAATATTTATACAGGATAATCATAAAATAACCCATTATTGATTCTAAAGATATAAAAAATATTAATTAATAGAAAAATAAATGCAAAGATATCTGTATCTAATATCAATAAAACTAAATGTTTTAATGTGAACCGAATAAAAACATAATCACCTCATGAAATAAATTACCTACTCTCCCAACCAAAACGTGACATCGTATGTAATCAATTTCAAAACAAAACCAGATCGTTGGGAAATTACGGTCTAAACGTATTTTATACAACAGGCCTAAAGCCTCAGCTCGGTATTAGTTCAAGGAGTGGTTTTATACATCAATTTCGTTTTATTGTTTCCTCAGTTTCGCGTATGTGCCGAGTGCTTGATTACACCATAATAGTCGTAGGTTGTAATGAAGGGTTGCACGCATTCGTGAGACGTGCGTGGGGGAACTAAATAAATAAATACACTAGGGGAGTTCTCGACGTTTCCACAATTGTCATTTCATTTTCAAATCATATTTTAAATTGGCCTAACTCAAATCCTAACCCTCGTTTAATTTTATGCCTGTTTTTTTTTAGTTTTGCCTTTCTACACATTTCCAAGCTTTCAAAAGATCCACTTTATTTGCATTAAGAATTTTTAGATGCCTTGACCGAAGTTTATTATAAGTGTTCAGTTTATTGTTTCCTCTATCTCCGTGTGTGATGAGAGCACGATTATGGTTAATAATGGTGCGTAAATGTAATGAGGGGTTAGAAGACTACTGGTAATGAACGAACGTCGGGATAACTTCCTTATTGTGCTCACTTGAAGTTGTCAAGCGATTCCAAATTCTATTTTCTTATTTGTTGGATCCTACTTTCTCATAATAGTATTAACAATTCTCATTATATTGTAAAGATTGAAATGCACCGCTAAGTGAATTTAAAATTACTATTGTTTATCAGTTATGTAAGAATTGGAGCATTCAATTACCACAGTTTATGAAGCAGCATACGAAGATTAATTCTAAAATTATTTAAAGTGAAACCGAGTCAATGCCGTCATCTTTATCCATAATAATAAACCAATCTGTATTCATGATTTATTGATTCATGAACATAACGTCACTGTCTAGAGAAACAATAAAATTAGTAATTACGTGAAAATAAATGTCGTGTCATTAGTAGCAAAAGAAGTAATACAGTCATCACAATAAAGAAATGTATCTAAATGAATAGTTAATATTCCTGTTGGTAGCAACTGTATAAGTAGCGATCTATTGTTCATATAGTGTTCGAACACGCGAGGCCGTATACCATCAGCCACATGACCTTCAAGGGTGACATAAAAAAGGGAAAACCGCTACCAACGACATTGGCACGAAGAGCTAGATTCTGTGCGCACACGCAAAGGAAGATCTTATGCGCCGTTTCAGCCGCGTCTAATTGATATTTTTCACATTGTTTTTTTTATCTTCAAATAGTATGTTATCTAATATTATTATTATATCAATGATACAATTGTTTCGACTCCTTTCAATTGTGTCATTACCAGTTTGTATCGAGTATACATCACAATTTATGACACTGTTTAGTTTAATTCAATGAAATATAAAAACAATAATAAGTTACAAAATACATGTAAACGAGCTACGATACAATCCATTGTTCTACAAAGATAGTCGATAGTTCATTGAAGTGACAGTTAATCTATTTTGATACTTAACTTTATTCTTGATTCAACTTTGGCATTGCGGCATTGATTCAGCCGTAAGCAATGTTTATGCCAATGTTTTTTGTCATAAACATTGAACAGAATAACTCCAAGTTGCATAAAAAATAATATAAAACATGACAAATAAACTGACGGTTTGCCCAATAAAAAGTATTAATCATCGTTTATATTCAATAACAGTACCACGGACATTAATACCCAAGGTACTCTTCATGTGTGCTATTTCTGCAGTTTAAGTTATGCTACCATACTCTATTCATAATTTCACTGCTATATCCCACCCTTCCAACTGAACCACTATGAATGCATAGTTGCTTAGCAGTAAAAAGGCAAATGGAACGAAGGTCCATATATAGACGAATTTAGTAGATATAAAGTTGTCCACTGATTCTTTGAAACTTTGAACTACTAATGTTTTATTCAAAATTTATTTAATGTAATCGATAAAGGGAGTGCATGCATTTTAAAATGTCTCAACTATTGCTCTTAGATAAGCCATTAAGCTAAGTCTAAGATTGAGACGTCTAAGTAGCTTGAAAACGTTAGCAGTTGCATTAATTATCCCTCAAGCTTAAATAAATCCGTAACCATGATCTCTTTATAGAGTAAAGAGAATCAAATTGATATATAAGTACTTACAGCTGTTTTTTTTTTATAAGTGTTAATGAAATGGTAACCCGCCTGCACTATTGTTAGAGATGCTGAAAGTAGGTCCGGTCCATTGACCCATTGTTGTCAGAAGGAACCCCGTGGAAGTCGACTTAATGGAGTGTACAACTAGCTATGGTCCCCATTAGATTCCATTACTAACAATCCTTTTCCCCGACTTACGACGGTTGGTGTCATAATTTATTAAATTGACAATCCAGTTACTCTAAAATTTTAAACATTTTATATGATTAAGTAACATACTTTAAGATATATATCGAATATATGATAATTTCCAGTATATAGCTAAATTTTATTATCATAAGCCTCCCCATTGGGGGGTTTTGCCAGTATTGCAACGCTTGACAAGCCGTTTGGCAACTTGAATTAGGCTTTAAAAATGTTTTAAGGGAGACGCTGCTGCCCATCCCTCGCCCTCCCTTAATCGACTCTTACGAAACACACGGGAAAGGAAAGGGTTGCCTTTTCTATGCCGAGACTACACGGCACCTAATATATTACACTAAGTAATCTATTATTAACATTTACATCTATTAAAAATATTACTTCTGTAGAACTTAAATCCATTAATCCTTCTCCTTTAATATTCAATCTGCAAATGCACAAAATTCTCGTAAACAAAATAACGAGACCTTATAAGCACTTATACTAGTAGATGTTTCAATAGTAAGTGTATACTAATAACTAATTGGCATATCCTGTATTAAGACATACTTATACAGCTTAATTTAACAGCCGGAAGATAATTTACGCATAGCTCGATACATAAGTAATTTTCTTATTTATAAAACACACTTTAGGTGTGATTAGTCGAAATATAGCTACGTAAAAAGTACCTTTTCTACCAGTTATTCCACGAAAAGATTCAGCTATTTCAGAAAAATAACCTTTCCTGTATTCTACAATTAAAATACTTTATAACTTAACTGTGTCATTATATTATTATATATTATTTGTCAATATATTATTATGGCTACTATAGCCATAATTACCAAAAATAAAACAAGTTTCATTTTTTTCTATACTAGCGAGCAATCCCGCCTTCTCATGGCTTTTTTGTAAATAAAATGCAGCTCATGTAGTCGCTGATAACTGATAATGTAGCTTTCTATAAATGATTTTTTTAAATCGATTAAGTACTTTTAGGTTTATCTGTTACAAACAAACATACAAAAAAATCAAAACTTTCCTTTTTATAATATTAATTCAAATTTAGTATAGGTATATCTAT